ATTTTATAGATCCCTTTGAAATTGCATATAAAATTTTATGTGTGAGTTTGTATGTAAGTATTCATTAGACTCTCTATAGAATCTGTGGGCCAGCCGAGTGGTGAGATGGTTAAGAGCTGGCTTGGGACGCCAGAGGGCCCCAGTTCAGATTCCACATATGAGGGCCAGTGACATTGCCCTCTACAGCTAAGATGCTGAACAAACAGCTCAACCTGGAGCTGGGCTGCCGTGAGTCACTGGCAACGGCATAGGCTGCAGCCCCTGTGGCAGTGGGTTGCCATGGGCTACTGTGTGTAGCCAGCAGCCAGCGTGAGCGGCCAGCAGCCGCAGTGAGCGGCCGTCCAGAAGCTGGCGACTGATCTGCCTCGCCCAGGAAGAGCGCAATGATGGTGCCAACTTGGGCCAGTGAAGCAACGTCCTCCACAACTAGACTGAAGAACAAAAGGACAGCAACTTGTCTGTTTTCCTCCCTGGTTCCCTAATGCTGTTCCCCTCCCACAATTCCCCAATTAAAAAAAAAAAAAGAATAATAGAAGGGAGAAAAAAGAAAGCAAAATATAGGAGGAAAAAAGCTATAAAACACACACACACACAAATCTTAAAAGATACCATTGGAGGTAGTAGCCAGAGTACCAACCCCTTACTCTGAAAATTGGTACTTAAGGAGGAAAAATTAAGCATTCATCCTTCCTTGCCTGTTTTAGTTTATTTCAGGTTAACTAAATAGCCCTAATTGACAAGATAAAGTTCTCTACAGAAGAATTTCATCTAGTAAATGTGGCAGGAATAAAGTTAGAAATCAATAATTGTAACCCTTAATGAAGTAATTGATTCAGATTTGACCACTAATGTCTACTAAAATTAGTTCTGTGGTTCTCAAAGTGTGGCCCCTGTTCCAGCATCTTAAGCATCACCTGGATACTTCTAAAAAAAAAATGTGTTAGTTCTTGGGCCCTTTCCAACACCTACTGTATCAGAAACTCAGGGAGTAGGTTCCAGTAATCCATTTTAACAAGCCCTCTAAGGGTTCTAATGTACACTGGAGCTTGAGAACCATATTAGTAGAAAGAGTGATGAGAAGCATCAAGCTTTTATTGAAGCATCAAGCTATCACTCCCAGAACTCATTTAATCAATCTTGGCATTCCTAAAAGTGGGAGAACCAGATATTATATTCCTCCTAGTAGACGCACCTATGACATATTCTTGCCACCTTCCAAAATAATTACACCTGAATCTATTCTATTCCTTATACTTGAATCCCAATCTACAGGAAATATAGGAGATAGAAAAATAAGTTAAACAATATTATGAAAAAGCAAAGGACAAATCCAGAATGTAGAACGGCCAACCCAGTTTCTTCAACAAGTCAGCGGCGTAGGAAAAGGGGGGGGTGGGGATGAGGGGCAGGGAGAACTGTTCCAGAATGAAAGGACTCCAAAAACAAAATAAGTAAATACAAAATGTACATCTTGTTTGGACACTGATTCAGATAGCCAACTGGGGAGATTTGAATTCAGACTAGCATATTCAGTGATATTAAGGAATTGTTAACTTTGTTAGCTATGATTGTGGTTATGTAAGAAAATGTCTTTTTTTTAGAGATACAAACAAAAGTATTCAGCGTGAAACAAAATGTCAAGATTTGCTTTAGGTTACTACAGCAAGAAAAAAAAAGAAAAAAAGGATAAAAGGAAAAAAGGATACATGAAGCAAGTATGGCAAAATGTTAGTAACTCTTGAATCTGGGGGATTCATTACACTATTTTCTCTACTTTCATGTATATTTGAGACTTTCGTAATAAAAAGATGGAAATTTTAAAATGACCTGTAAAAACAATATATTTATTAGGATATATTTATTCCTGTGCTAGCCTTTATCACAGCATATTGTAATTGCCTATTTGTCTATACCAGTATTTCTCAAACTATCAGTATTGAAAGACCAATTTTTTAGTTGTCCAGTCTCTCACAGATCATGACTTTTGCAATATATAGTAAAAACCAACCACCAGAAAAACAAAATGGAGGGAAAAGGACATAAAATATAACCTTAAAAAGTTTTGTTATTAAAGTCAGCAAACATAAAATTACATTTTACTTAATCAGAACAAACGCAAATATAGGAAAAGAACAATTTTTTAAAACCATACATTTGTTAAAAATACACACATAATCAATTAGTATAAAGAATTGCACTCATAAAACTTATGACACTTACAAGTTCTATAACCATGATTAATTAAGTTTTCAAAGTAAAATATGAGTGTGCTTTTTGCATGTTAATTTGAGGTTGTTGTGCATTAACTTGAGTTTGGATTAATAACAATGTCCTTCGCAGAGGGTGATGTCTACCTAAACTGATGCTATTTGTAGCCACAGTTACTTCTGTTACTGATTTCTCAGCAGATGATATAGTTTTGAAGCATGCCCACACTGCAGAAATAATAAAAAATAGGGAAGATAATAGATATGCAAGAATATTCACTGGGAATTTTGCTTAAGGAGTAAAAATACCACCTCTTTAAATAGTTTGTCTCTTAGCCTCTGGATTGCAGATGTTGTCATTTTTCTTACACTGTGTGTTATGTATTTATTGACATGTGATGCCCGTGGCTTTACATGTTAATTTTGGATTCAGATATACCATGCCTTTGTGTTTCAGACAATACACTTCAAAGCTTTTCTTCCCCGGCTGCTGTGGTGGTTCCAGTTTGGACTGAGTGCTTTGCAAATATATCAATTGCTATAGATTCTATTGTGCTTCCCAGGTCTCATTTTATACCCAATAGTTTGGGTTCTTTTTCCAAATATGTTAACTTGTACTTGTTCACACTGGATCTGTTAGGTTTCTCTGTGTTGCCAAAATCTTTTCCACTAATGCGCATTGACTCAGCATTTTCAACAGGAAGAAATTTTGTCTTTCTGGGGAAGCCAATCATTTGTCTATGAAAAAAACTGGCTCACTTGGTGATACACTTTAAGTAGCATTTGGTGTGGAATCATAGGAAAGATTACTAACTAGCCAAAAGAGATCCCCTCACAGAAAACGCTGCATTCCTCACATTAAGTTATGTTTGCCCAAGGGTCCAACCCTTCATTATGGATTTCCCAGCTCATCCAGGATAGGAGGAGACTTTGGTTTACTCTTATGAAACAAGAGCACATTGTCCACTGCCAGTTTACTTAGACATAGCCATTCTGATGACAGTTTGGACATGTTGATTGAAAGTTCTGCATATTTGTTTTTAAATGATGGCCACTATGCGGGCTCTGTAAAGGCAAAGGGAAGATGTGACAAACTGATTATCTCAGTTTGTGTAATAACAGCAGATACAGAAGAATATACAGCATTTCCACTTCAATGTAAAGCCTGTAACATGTCCAGTGTAGCACAACTACTCCCCATTTTATAGCACTGTTCGTGGAAAGGTTCATGATAGCGTCCATGATACTTATGCAGCTACGTATTTGAGTACTACTATGATGTTTGCTAAGCATTGTGGGGGGAATACGGAGAAGAATGGTATGATCCCTATCCTTAGGAAGCTTAAATGAAGGTACCGTTTATTTTCTAAAACACAGTGTGTTAGAATTAGGACCGTGTGTGTGTGTGCACGCACGCTCGCACGGGTCCAAATGTGCACCCATGTTGGGATATTACTGATATATATATATGCGGATAAAGTGTGAGACAGTATGTTATAAGTGATAAGGAGTTCAGAGAATTGAGATTATTTCTACTTGAAGTGATAAGGGACCGTTTAAAGGCAAGGTGGCATTTGAGTAGTGTTGTGAAAGGATGATTAAGATTTCAGCAGAAGTCTAGTAAAGAAGGAATTTGATATAGGAAAAAGAAAATTAAAGTTTCTAGTTCCAGTTACTAAGTGGATGAATTCAGCCAGATTGCTTAATCCCTCTGATCTTCACCTTCCTCAAATATAAAATGGGAATTAGGGTAATAGTTATCATAGAGGAGTTTTAAGAAGATTAAATGAGATATTGTGATATGATCATGCTTTATAAACTGTAAAGTGCTCTACGAATGTTAGTAAATTTTATAGTAAATGTTGAAGATGAGCCAAAGTCATGGTATTTAAAAACCAGCAAACCACATAGCCTAGAGCAGAAAACGTGTGAGGATGACTGTGACTATTGATTTCACCCATACAGTTCCTTACTTGCGAAAATAACCTTAAATAGAAAAGGCTTTCAAGATTTATGCTGACCCTCTCTCCCTCAAAAGATCATTTCAGAGACCTTTTTAGATCTTCAGTTGAAACTTGTGTGAGTTGTAATATTTAGTTTTATTGAATTCATGTCAATATATGCAGATACAATTTTCAAGTAAACTGCTTTAATGGATTATAACATTGCACAAAGATATCTAATGTATCTTGCAAAGTATATTTGTTTAGAGAACAATGGTTATAATGACAGTGCTTGGTGTAGAGAACAAGTCTGAATAATCTTGGGTAGATCAGAATTGCTCCACTGAACTGGAGAACAGGGTGTGAATTATTTAAGCTACTTCCAGGGACCACCATATCTCATATTACAGGTAGTTTGTATAATAACTACAGGAAATGATTGTTTAAAAGAAAGATAACCCTTGTCTGATGCGATGTCAGAGAATTGATTCATGTTCTTTGTTTTACATAAATTTTATTTTTAAATGTGGTTAGGAATACTCAATACATTTTTCAACAAAAGAACAGAGGGAGTACCTGGGCATACAAGGCGTTTTGAGTTGTACTGTGAATATTATGCCACTTGCTGTTGTCTGGTCTTAGGCTGTCTTCGTTTATCTGAACTCCAGTGAAATACGATTGAAATTACCTTTCTCAAGGCAATTACCTTTCTCAACTTGGAAAACAGCATGTTTTTTTGCATACTAACCTTTAATCATTAAAAAGGCTTTTGAAGAAGAAGGCATCCTGAATACTAATAGTGGGGTCATTTTATTTTGGTGAATATTCTAAATTCTCTCTTCTTCTACAGACTACCTTGCGAATCATGGCCGGTTAAATGAGTCAGAGGCCAGGCGCAAATTCTGGCAAATCCTCTCTGCTGTTGATTATTGTCACGGTCGGAAGATTGTGCACCGTGACCTCAAGGCTGAAAATCTCCTGCTGGATAACAACATGAATATCAAAATAGCAGGTAACTGGGACACAGCTGGCTCTGACGTGATCAGTTGTGCCACTGCTCTGGTGTGTACAGAAACAGACCTATAGGTAGAGGTTCCGGGGCATTTCTATGTAAGACATCAAGCTTTCACATACACACACAAAAGTGTATATTTTATTCATTTCTTTAAATCTGTGTGTAATGAAAAGTAAGAGAAATCAGTTCATTATTAATCTACACAGTGGCAGGGCAACCACTGGAGCCTGACTGGTGTCTGGGGCCCTTTGTGGGGCTCTGCCAGGGGAGGTGCATTTGTCTGAGTGTGTGAGTGGAGGGATTGACAGGCCAGAGGAGCAGTGCAGGTTGCTGGCGCTATACCCTGCTCCTGATTTTGACTGGTGTCCGCAGAGCAGTTACAGACAGGAACGAGACAAAGGAGGAATGTAGGTCGATACAGGAGGAGCAGGTAGGCAAAGACCACAATACGAAGGGTCTTGACTGCAATGAAAAAGACTTGAGTTTATTCTGTAGGTCACAGGCAGTCTAGTCTATTGAAAATTTTAGGGTGAGGACAGGAGTGAAGCGGGACTGGGATAACAATTAGATTTGCATGTTAGAAAGATGTCTCTGGCAGCAGGGTAAAGGCAGGTGGGAGATGTGAATGTGACTGAAGACAGGAAGATTGATAAGGAATCTAATACAATAGTCCAATTAAGAAAATGTGGGTCTGAACTAGAGCAGTAGCAGTAGAGGTTGGAGGTGTGGAACAGAGGGAGAGAGATGTATTTTGTTCAGGGTGTTGAAGAAGGTAAGGGGCACAGAGCAAACGCTGAGCAAAATTGCAAGTGGTCATGTTTTGTTCTAGGATCCCTAAAAAGAGGAGAAGAGAGACAGCCTGGTGACAGGAGCTGACCAAGAAATTATTATAATTGGTTGACGAGCTAGGTTAGATATACAGCCGACTCACTAAGTTGAGAGCGAAAGCAGCTCCTTGTGGTGTAAAATATAAGTTAACTGATGTGCATTTTAACTGGTTTTATTTCTATGCCATTTCCCATTCGTTTTTATCTTGAGCATTTTGAGGAAGGTAAATAATTAATTTTTACTTACTTCAATTTTTAGTTACTTTTACTTTAGTTTTAATTAAAGTAATTAATTTTAAATGCCAATGTTATATATGTTACAGGAAAGTAATGAATGTTTCCATTCTGTAGTCTGTGATATTTTTTTCTAATGGGATTGCCTGAAAAAGACAGTGTTTAATAAGACAAAGTTAATTTGTTATATTCCCATTATATGTCAAGATTTGTTTGATTTTTGACATTTTTGTCTTGAAAATGCAATCTACAGTATTAGTGTTCCCATAGCTTCTTATGCGTGCTCACTTTTCCTGTCTCTGGTTTTACTTCTCCTTCTTCTCCTTTTGGCCAACCTTCTCTAATACATGTCACTTGAATTTTTGTTCTGCCCAAAAATTGTCCTCTTCATACAAGGCTCTTGTTTTTTTTAAATTCTTAATTCTGTAGAAAAAAGGTGGAAACCCTTGCTTCACCTGTGCGTTCCTTTATCACTAAAGCAAAAAATACCTCAGAGGAGTTTTGGGAGTGTTTTCAGACAGAAAGGTTAGAGGTGTGAATCACTTGCTCTAGGAATTAGAAAGTGCTCTATCACTAACTTCTCAATAAAAAAAAGTATCCAAGTAGAACACCAAGGAAACTTGCAAACAAAATATACTCAGTTTTGCCTGGCTATACATAATATGTCTACTATATTATAGGTAGGTAAACTCAGTGTTTCTAATGTCATTATGACATACCTAGTTTTTTGTTTGTTTTTATTTTTGTTTTTGAATATCTAAACTTCAAGGCCTTCTAATTTTTATCTAGAAGACAGGTAAAATGTCTGAGACCTAAAGTGTTTTTCTCTCTGTTTAAGCTAATATAATAGATACCATTTATTGAGCCTTCATTATTTTCAGGTATTCTGTTGGGTACTTCTATCATTTAAGCTTCACAGCAACCCTGGGAGCTGCATAGCTCTTGCCAGTTTTTCGATGAGAAAGCTGAAACACAAAGAGATTAAATAACTTGCTAAGGTGACTCAGATAATAAGTTGCAAACCTGGAATTCAAACTTAGATCTCTGTGACCACGATATCTGTGTTTCTTCCACTATACCAGTTGTAGTTTCCAAGCATTATTTGTCAGTTATTCTTCAAGGGTTATTCACTTACTGAATTTTGGGTCTCATCATTCTGTATTTATACATTTAGTGTATAAATTTAATATATCTCACATGTACACACACACACACACACACACACACACACACACACACACAGTGTATCTAAGCACTCAGATACCTTCTTGCTCACATTTTTTCCCTCTCATCCTTAACACCATTACCCCAAATTTTAGTAAATGTTTATTAAGCATTTACTATGTTCCAGGGCTAAGTCCCAGAGATTTAAATATTTCAAGACAAAAACAACAGCAATGCGAAAAAGCTCAGCTCTGCTCTCACCTCAAGGAGTTAATCCAGAACCAGACCTTTAAGTAAATATAACACAAAGAAATAGTTGTTGAAAAGGCTAAGAAACTAACTCTGCATGCAAGAAATTTTGATTAAGAAGAAGATGATCATGGTGGCATGGGGGGAGAATGTGTTGAGGGGTGAGGTAGGGATGGCAGCTCCAACTAAGTGGATCAGCATATACAAAGGCAGCCAGAAAACTCAAAAGTATGTAGGGAAACTACAGAGCAGAGATGGGGGACAGAGGGATGAGTGAGGAATGTCAGGAAAAGAGCCTGACAAATAGGCCCAGCCAAATCATGAAGGATCCCACATGCCATCAAACACTTAGGTGTGACCCAATGCTGTTAAAGCATTTCTCCAGGATATTCATTTTTATCCGTAGATTTTATAGCTTTTTTATGGCCCTGCTTCCCTTTAAAAACATCATCTTCTGGTTTCAGAGGAGTCTTCTTGAATTTGAATGAAATCTAACTCAAGTAGAAAAGATGGGGCTTCATGGAAAAATTACAAGAACCCAGAATAAAATATAAAATGATTCCCTCAAATTATATTTGCTCTATTTATTCGACTTATGAAGATCTCTTTAATTGCTATATGGGCTGAATAAATGAACTATTTTAGCCACCTTGTATCTTGAAATTGACGAGAAGTGCAAACCAAAACTAGGCTTAAATTAAAATACTTGTTTCTGTATGACAGAAAATGATATATAATTTTAATAAATACAGAAACGTGGCTTTGAAATCAGCATCTAATTTATGCTACTCTGGTGGATAAAGACTTCAGACGCTGATCAGCCAAGGACTCCATCACACCTGTGTGTGCTCATTGCCTCAATTAGGAGACCTCCAGCGTTTGCAAAATATGAGTGTTAGAACATTCAGAGTAAGAGGCAGAATGCAAAGAAATACTAGCTTTCATTAGTTTTAGTAACTGCAGTACTGATTCCTCCTAGCTATTTTGGCTATGATTATTCAGGCATTAAGGTGAAAATAAATAGATGAAGGACGTTTAGTTTTATTCTTTAACTTTCCTAATCTGAAATGTTTATAATAAATAGTTAGCTTAGATAAGGATAAAACTGTATTAATTACTTAAAGGAAATTTTCACAAATATCACATTTCAAACAAAGCTTCACATAAAGAAACATGGAGTTTAATATCAGACAGTTATAGGTGCAGATTCTGGCTGTGCCACATAATGGCTGTGTGACCTTGGGCTGATTATGTAACCTCACTGAACCTAGATTTCCATATCTGTTAGGCAGAGATTACTGTTTCTCAGGAGCATTGTAGGGATTGGCGATAGTGTTTGAAACAGGGAGGGTAGTAAGTAAAAGTATGTCTCTAGAGCAAGGCTGCCTGGGTTTGCATCCTAGCTCTGGCACTTACTAGCTGTGTGACCTTGTTGGAAACATTACCTAGCCTCTCTGTCCTCCGTTTCCTTATCTGCAAAGAAGAAATGATAGAAGTTCATATCATGTGGTGGTTACTAGGTAATATTTGTAAAGTACTTAGAACAGTGCCTGGTACATAGTGCCATTTAAGTGTTTGTTAAATAAATTGTTCCTGGCACCATGTAACACTCAATAAAAGGTAGCTATTATTTGGATATAATGTATAATTGATTTCATGTGAAAGCAAATCCTGAAATTTTTGATAGCCATATAACCCCCTTCACCATGTTTTTTTTTTTAATTATCAAGTCGTTAAAGCCTTAATACAAATCTCAGAGGAACAAGGAAAGTTTATCATTCATATTCTGAATTGTCTCTGCTTGATGTAAATTAATTTTTTTTCTGACAGTCCATTGTAATTAGTAATGTGTAATGAGCCTCATTAATCTGACCTATGCGTCACAAGTCACTTGTCTTTAGCCAAAGAGCAGTGCTTCCTTTCTGAGTTAGCTCATGAACCCTGAGTGGCCCATCATCTCTCATTATTGCTACTGACAATCTTCCGGCTTCCTAGAAGACCTTGAGACAGGGTTTCTGTATATAAAATTCCATTTTTTTGTGCCCTGGAACCAAAAAGAGTAGGGAGGCCTAAGACAGATTTTATTGGTAAAATATTTATTAAAAGTCTTCCATTTGTTATCCTCCTGCCACTAGTATTAGGTAAAATGTAAAAACAGCTTTGTGTCAGCAAGCACAGTGAGATTTTGCCTTTATCCTTCAAGCCTCGTTAGCACTAGCAGCACAGTAAGCCTAGCATATGGAGGAGCGCTCAGAGGGTTTTGTTTCATTTGGTTTTGGTTTTTCCCTCTCTGCCTCCCCACTCCATTTGGGGCTAAAGAAGATCATTTGCTTGCGTCTTAGCTCACTGAACCCTCTCATTGGACAAATAGATGTCTCACACTGGTCAGCAGGATCACGTTTCATCTCAGCTGTGGTAATCTCTCTTGTGCCCGCCTGTCAGGTAGGGAGGGAGTGACTGATGTTTGGAAGTCAGCCGTCCAGCTGGCCTTTTCTTGCTGGTGGGCAACAAAGTATATGCACT